TGGAGATTAAAGGGCAAAGGGCTCTGCCTGCACGTGCCTTGAAGGGGTGGGGAATTGTATCTGGAGGAGCAGCCTGTAGGGTTTAGCAGGTGGAGTTGTTAAAGTGGGACTGTTTCCTCCTGCCTCCTGGGAGGCACCTGGGGACCTTCTTGGAATGTGCCTTGCTTGCTTCAGCACAATCCTGCAGCAGTGCTGAACAGAGAAAGTGAACAGGAGTGCAGCCAGAGAAGGTTGAAAACAGGGCAGGTCCTGCTTTCTGTGAGCAGGCTTCTGTCATAAACCCCTCTACACCAATCCACAGATTAGATGCTGGAGATGTCAAAGATTCCAAGTGCAAGCAGAGCTGTTCACAGATTCATGTCAATGTGATCACATCATGGAGCTGTGACATCATTATACTGATTTGCAAGTCAGTACTTGGGACTCTTACAAATTGAATAGTGGAATTGATGGGTTAAACCCAAAGATACAAGGTTGGTTCTCAAAAAAACCCAGATGTTGGGTGGTTTTGCATGAATCAAAATGTGTGTGTGGAGCATTAAGAGCAGTGCCAGGCTCAGCACCGTGGTAAATTCTCTCATGTCCTGACTGTGGATGTGGCTCCAGTGTCCCAGAGAAACTGCCTCCAAGTGAGAGATCAGTTTGTTCATTCAAACACTGGTTTTTCTACTTTGGATTGTTGGATAGTTTTGTGGTTTGGATGCTGGTCCTCTAAGACTGGCAGATTTAGGTTTGAGTCCCAGTGGATCCTACTGTCAGGGAATGCAGATTTAATTTTCAGGTTATGATCTTTATTTACTGCTCTTGTTCCACGTTACCTCCTGGGGGCATCATAGACATTAAAGCAAATTTATAGGTTATATCAGATTACAGTATTATGATTAGATAATAAAAGCATCAGTTTTCTAAAGAAAAAAAGAAAAAGCAACAAGCTTTCCATTTGTTCAGCAGGGCAGAAGTTGAAAATTGAGTAACACAGTCAATTCTGCTTGGTCACCATTTTTCAGCATAGTTTGGAATATCCCAGGCAAGGCATATTTTACTCTTGTTTGCAAGCAAAAGCTGGAAGCGAGCTGTGAGTCATTTTAGAATTAAATCCTTTCCTAAAATTTAATTTGTGACCTCGAAACCTAAGCCAGGAACAATAGGACTCTAAATGTTTCAGCAGTTGTACACATGTGCCTTCCCAGAGTTAATACTGAGTTCTCCCTGTCACAGGACAGGGAATTTTCTTTCAGTGCATTTATACATCTGTAAGCCAGTCACATATGAAAACAATAACCAAGGAATAAGGAAAAAGTCAATAAGGAAATTTATATATAGCTGCTATTAAACTGGAGGAAAACAAATCATCTGTTGGGGTCAGTTTCAGTGGGAAATCAATTTGAGCAGAGTTTTATTGTCGTCTCTACAGATCCTTCATGTTATTTGCTTGCACCTTTAATAGTCCTGACTGAGGAGGTTTTACACTTGAGCCTAAGCCCCCTGAATCATTGTGTTTGTTGCCTTTTCAACATCCACATTCCCAGTTGTCACAAATGCTACCTAACAACACCGAGAGCTCCAAGTACATTTCCCCTCTTAACTCCAGGGAGTTTTCAAGGTTCCTGTTAAGTGCTTAAAGCAGTTAGGCTGCAGTGCCAGACAGATTCTAACCATGGGATGTGCAAAAATGCCTCTCTGTGCATTGCATGGGACTGCTGAGACTAAAACTCTTCATACATGGCCATAGATGAATCAAAACATCCATAAAAATGTAAATACCTAGAGGCATACGAGACATTGGATTAATTAAAAAATCACTGAAGCATCTTCTTAGTCTGGAGAAGTACTCTCCTTAAATTTTACCTTCAAATGCAAGTTTTCTAAATTTAACCTTTGCATTCTTGTTGATACTTTCACATAGTTTTTAAAATTTCGGTTAATCCTAAAAAGCTCATAATGTCTCATTATTTGCTAACCCAGAGTGCAAATTTTGTTTTGTCACTGGGTGCTGCGGATTTAAGATAGAAATTTCATTTTTAATTTTCCATTTAAGATAGAAAAAGAATGGAAATTCGATGAAAAATGTCTGTTCTAACTGTCACGTATTTCTCTTCCTTTTTGTAGCCTGATTTTGAATTCGATCTCATCCTATTGAGTTTATTTAATTATCTGGAGGAAACTCTTGATTCTGTCTTCCTCAGATGGAAGACTAAAGTCTAAGCATTGTTGCACATGGTGATACTTTCACTGTTTAATGGTTTATAATGTTTACTGCTTTTACTTTGATTTTTCTCTTTGCTGGATTTTCAGACACTTCCAATTAAATAGTAAAATACAGTAACTGAGCTGCTCTGATGTTACAGAAAGGAAATCAAGGCTGACTTCTGTTTAGACAGTCTTTAGAACAGAGCTTATTAAGTTTTACATTGTATTCTGAGGATGTGTACAAAAAGAAATTAATTAAGTGGTCCAAAAGTCAAGTTATTTCTCTGAACCACACTCCAGCCCTGGGTTGAGGCCATATTCAGGTTACCTTAACACTTATTGTATCCTAAATTCATTGGTTGCAGTAGATTTAAGCATAAACTTGGAAGTTATCTGAACCAGGTATTTTCTTTAATTGGGTTCAAGACTTCCAACACTTTTCCAACCCACCTAACAGGTATAGCTAAAAAAACCATAAAGAATGCATTAAAATTTTAACCTGTGACAGTCCAGCTTGTCACTGTCCGGCAAAGGAAGGTTTTGTGCTGGGAATTTTCTCCATTTTATCTCACCTTTGTGTGGGATTAAAGGTGGCTGAAACACTGATTATTTATCTCCCCTCCCTGAGCCCGTGCAGTGGGATGCTGGCTCTTCCAGACACTCTGGATGTCTCATTTCTGAGCAGCTTTGGGACCCCTAGGGATTAGGGGAGGTATATGAATGTTTTATAATGTTATTGATAACTGCAGAGCAGATGTTTTCTAATAAACTGCTGTGAGATAAGTTACTGGTAGCATCTGCAGAGATGTGTGCAAATGAGCTCAAAATAATTAATACTGCGTTAGAAGAAAGCTTTTTTTTTTTTTTTTTAAAGTTTATCTCTATTGGAGCATTCAAGATTGTTTCAGCCTGCCCTGAGAATCTGTTAGAGCAAAATTACCATAATTTATTAGGGGAAAAGCCATTTCTGTTAATCATATATTAATTATTCATAAAATCAGTATTAATTTTACCTTAATGGGAAATGTTACCAGCTGGGTACTGGGGCTGACAATCCATTCACATACCAAAAAAAAAAAAAAAAAAAAGGAAAAGAGAGAGATAAATAACTTGACTTTAAAAGAAGACATAAAAATGACTTAGGAGAGCATAAAAGCAGCACGTATGGATATATGAGTTCCCATGGAGCTGGCTACAGCAGGGAAGTTCAGCCTGCTAAGCACTTTGTGTTTTGGCTCTGGCACTGGTTTGTGAAATTCAAGTGGAATTGCTGAAGGATGTTTGTTGCACACAAATCCTGTCTCCTTCTCCCAAATTGATTTTAGGAATTTAAATTCGGGATAAATTCCTCCTGCTGAAAGGGAAAAAAAAAAAAAAATTGCCAGTATTTAATCTTTTGTGAAGCGTGTGAAATGTGAAAATGCTGTTCAGAGGATGTGTTCAGCCTGGAATGAACATGACAAAGTGGAACCTCTACTCTGCTAAAGGAGGATTTCAATACTTAGGTTATGACTTGGGATTAGAAAGTATATTTTCCTGGAAGTTTAGCAAAATCAAAAGCAGAATGAATTTTCAAAAACTTACCGTAATTAAAACCTTTCTTTTTCTTTCATTTTCTTCTTTTTTTTTCTCTCCTGACTATTAAAAGTTCTTTTGCAAAAATGAAAACCCAAACAGAAAGGGCACTGGCTGAAGCATGCAATGCCTGTAAAATGCAGTTTTAGTTTTATATGAACTATAAAAGCTTCAGAGGATTCAGCTGATACTAAATTGTTGAGATCAGCTCTAGAGCCTTTTTATTAGGATAGCAAATGTTGAACTTATAAACAGATTTTATTTACATGTTAAGATAAAAGGCTGTTTATTAGTAAAAGATTTTTTTTTTTAATGACAGTTACAACCTTCAGTGTGTGATCTGTAAAATATAATCTGATGAATTTTGGCCAAAGCCATGGAAGAGAAGAATTTGGAGTGGGAAGTCAACCCAAAAGAAACAAAACAAAATAATTTTTAAAAATTGCACGGCTTTCAGTGAGTCCAGGAAACCCAGACCTGGTCTTGGAACAACTTATGGATCTGGGTGGTCTAAAACTGAACCAATGTTCAAGAAGCTTAAGTAATTATGATTTTTTATGAGTGTGTTTAACATTGATATTATTTCCAAGTTGTGGGTGGCGGGTGAACCCGTGGTATGCAATCAGCTGTCGTGCCTAACCCTGATCAATGCACATAAAAAAATTACATTATTTTGCAGTTTAGATTTTTTTTTTTTATTCATTTTCAAATAAATGTGGTGAAAGTGAAGTGTGTATGGGAGCAATTTTCATCTGGAGAACTTAAGAAATAACGATGCCAAAGGGGCTGAACTGTGCTGATGGCTGTTCCCAGCCATGAGTACCAGGAGCTCCTTGTCCTTAATGCATCCCAGCACCCTTTTGGACTTTGCTACCAAATTGTTATCAGAGTTCTGCAGAGCCTGGTAATGGTAATACCTCAGCATTATAACAAACAGGTAGCGCTCTGCATTTTCATCCACCGAGTGTATTTCATTGCTTACACTGTAGTAGCAGATCAAAACCATCTGCTGCCTTGCCAAGTGCTCCAGCACAGGAGGGGATCTCAGCTCATTTTCCCCAGGCTGGGCTGCTCCCAGGCAGCAGGAGCAGGGATGCAGTGCAGCTGCTGCTCAGGGGCCAGAGCTTGGCTGGGGAGCAGCGGGTTCCATGGGGACCAAGAGAGAAAAAACAGCAAAAATGGAGATAAACTCGGCTTGCTTCTCTCCCTGCCCTCCTCCCCCGCCCCTTCTGCAGCTCCGTCCCCCATCACGGTCATAAGGAAGGACAGGACGTCCAGGAACAGCGTGTCCCTCTCCTGGCAGGAGCCTGAGCATCCCAACGGGATCATCCTGGACTACGAGGTCAAATACTATGAAAAGGTGGGGAGATCAAAGGGGAGGGGTTTTCCTCAGCAATGCTGTGATGAAATCGTTGCGTCTTGCCTTGTGTTAAGGTTTCAGAAACGCTCAGGTTCCTTCAGCCTCACTCAGTGTTGGAGCTGCTCCATTGTTGGTAAGGAGAACATCAGGAAATACAAAATGAAACCATTGTGTTGTCTACCAAGCTCATCCCCACCACACAAAGTCATACAATCAATATGTCATTACTTTATTTTCTCACTTTCTTGATTAAATTTTTCTTATGATGCTGTTCTATCCTGCTGTCAGTGTCCATGCCCTGTGGCACGAGCATCTTTTACATGAAAAATATTTGGAAAACGTTGGCTGGCCTATTGGGCTTGTTTGCACTGTGAAAGTTCTTTCTATTAATAACTGAATTCTTCATAAGTTGTAAGCAAATTACTACAAATGAAAGAAAAATTACCTTCTGCTTTTCACTGACATTTCCTTTTATTTACAAGTGTTTACTTAGACATCCTATAGAGATCTACATTTAGAAAAGTCTTTGTAACAGAATGTTTTTACAAGGTCTTACTGGTAGAATTGAAAAGACCATAAATTGCCGTGGAGATTCTGAAGTGTGGTATTAGCCATTTTTTGGTAGAGCTACTGATAGTTCTGTTTGATATATTGCTCCTGGATTTTCAAAGTTAACAAACTTTGAAAAAAAGGCCAGAATTCTGGTTTAATTGAGCATTTGCTAACAGTCTTCATATCTAATAATTATTATATTTCATACATACCAGAGAAGATATAGTGATAATATCCTCTAAGAAATGCTGTTAAAAATACTCCATGAGTATTCTGTCAATTTTTAGAATTTTTTTTTTCCATGGAGCTTTGGAGTGGGACAATGTGATGTTGATAGTTCATACCTGATTTCATATGAGGCAAAAGATTCAGAAGGCTGAATGCTGAAAAGATTTCTCCCAAATTTATGTAATCTGACTTGGGAAGAGATTTTTTTTTTTTTGGTGAGCACTTGAACCTTCAAAGACCTTGGTAAAAATCTAAACATACCTCATGCTAGTGATAGTGGGAGAAAAAGAGATCATCCAAAACATTTTAACTCAGTCTCACTTGTTGGAGCAGTATCTGTGGACTTCCACATTGTTGTTTTTTTTTTTTTTTTTTAATTTCAACTGAGGCAGGATCAATTTCAGTCATCCCCAGGAAAGCAGGGCTCCATCACATGTGTCAGGGACTTGGGAAGACAAATGCCATCACTCCGAGTATCCCCCTTTTCCTCCTTCTTCCCCAGCCTTGCATGGTGCCATGTGGGATGGGATGGGATAGGATGGGATGGGATGGGATGGGATGGGATGGGATGGGA